ATGTGATTCCAGCAAGAGCCAGCAGGTGGCAGTATTAGGCAGTACTGGTTTTTTTTCCCTTCCCCATTGCCTGGCTGACAGATTGGCTTGTTCTCAGTATAAACCAAAATCAGACCCAAATACTAAAACCATGCAGAATCTTATTATTTGTGACGGACACTGTTAGCAATGTGTTCAGAGCTATGTTTTAACCGAGCTAGGGGGAGCTGCCAAGTCCTATTGAAACTACCCAACCCTCGCTGCATTGTGCTGTCTGATGCTTTCCTCTCGCAACCTGAAAATTGGTAGGAAACAAAGAACGATCCGGGGTTGCATCATCTCTGGGACTTTCAAACCAAATTACAACCATCCCCAGCAATGTATTTTCTGTCTTGCAGCTCTTTCCTGCTGAATTGGTCTCATGCGGCACACATCTCTTTTTCCCCCTCATTGTTCCCACTGTCTTGCAATAAAAAGAAGCAAAATAAAACCCCAGGTCTTAAAAATGGGATTCATTCTTTTGATTTAGAGATAAACCCCAGTTAACTGTAATATTTATGCAGACATAACACAGGCTAAATCAGTCCTGCTCAGTAGAAAGGGCCCTTGTTGAGCAGATAAGTCAATCATCTCGTTAATTGAATCTCAGGAGTCATTTAAGTTTATCCTTTTAGACTGTGCTTGAAAAGGAATGGAGATGTGTGCATGTTTTTTACTAGTTTTTCTAGACTTATGTCTTGAGGTTTGCTGATTTCCTCATTTTAGCTAAAATAGTTTAGCCAAATAGTTTTGGCTAAAATGGGGAACTATTAAAATTGGTCCTTGTTTAGCACAAAGCAATTTTTCCCATGATTGCATTAATGTAAAAACAACCCCAAACCTGAGGGTTTTTAATAAAGAATAATAGTTATGCATATTTTTGTATGTTTTACCTAGAGTGTGAGAAATTTAAGCAAATTGGAAAAGTTGAGAATTTGAAGAAAATAAGTAGTTGATTTAATGGTAAATATATCTTTACTGACTTCATTTATCAGGTTAGATCTGGTAGTAAGAGAAATCATCCAGATGGTCCTTTAATGTTCCTTTCAATACTAAGATTTTGTGAAACATCTTCTAAAGAGGAGTAGGTGGTGTAGGAAGAAAATTAATGTGCTATTTTAGCTTCTAGGGAGGGGAGAGGGAAGCAGTTATTTTTAGAATATGTTCCAGTTACACCCAGTTTTAGGAGAAATAGAAGAGTGTATTTTAATGTCAGTGAATCCTTCAGGGTGACGAAGTCTATGGAAACACAGCTTTCAAATCCTTGTCACTGTGATTCCAGAGAGCAGACTTGTAGTTAGAGCGTATGTGCATGTGTGTGTGTGTGCTTGCATACATATATCTTACCACACAAATGGGGGTTTGGGTGGAACGCATGAACATTATCAGCAAAGTTTCTTGGATAAAATGTAACTAGACTTTAGTCCACTATTGATGTGAAAGTGCTGCCAAATTTAGCATTCCTTATGCTGGGGGAGCTAAAGAGAAGAAGTAGTTGAAACACAGGAAAAGATGAAAGAAATTATTAAATTAGGGGAAAAAACCATTGAATCACTATTAATGTAATAGCAAGGGATAACTGAGCAGGCTAACAGTAGTGTTTCTCCAAAATTAAAGGCAAATATGAACTCTGCCGTAGCAGAAAGTCTTAGTGTTGCACACTCTGCCTCGGTTTTTTAAGAAGGATTACATGATTTTATAATCATATTTTTTTGTGATGTAAACCGCGATACTGCACGTACGATGCAGAATACACTTGCCTGGCTGAGCCCCAGAGGACTCTGCCGTGGCCTCTGTGTACCAGAGCATCCCGCTCCCCCCCCCACCCCCAGCC